ATGAACAATGACAATCAACTGTTCAAAAACAATTACGAGTTTTTCGATTATTAGAACATAATGTACTTAAAGATTTACTAATTAAAGAAGAACAAATAAGACTTAGTCAAGAAACTCAACAATTATTATCAAATATTGAAGATCGAAAAGATATCGATTGGATGGATGTTATAGCTGATTTACAAACAAATTTAATTAAAGAAGCAATAGGTGAAGATGCAACAGAAGAAGAAATTCAATGTGGTTTAAGGTAAATATTTTATCTTAATTGTGAAATCAACTTATTTACTGAAAATATAATGAAAGAAACATTCAGATGTTTATAATTCGTTTCTCAATTTGAACTGATAGGTTTTTTCATTTGTTATTGGTATTGTTTTTCTATATTCACGATGTCAAAGAAAGTGAAGGAGTAAAATTTAACTACAAATCTTGAAACTATTGTCAAACTTTGATAATGAATAGTATTATATCTGTTTTAGCTATTACAGGTTTCAATCGATTAGTAACTATAGTCTTTTGGCGTCAAAGTCATGATAAGGGATTGTTTCTTTAATCACTACATTCACAATGGTTGTTTATTATTTTACCGCTATACTTGAATATTTGTTAGAAGACACTGTGAACTATATAATAGTATAATAATCTTAGTCCAATTTTAAAATGTATTTATTTCAAACAGATAGTGACTGATCTATCTTGAAAAGTGGTATCTTTAGTGACTAACAACTGTTTTAGTTACTAAGTTCAGACTTGTTATTCGAAATATTTCTTTTTAATAAAACTTTATTTAATATTATATTATTGTTATCGAGATAATCTTCGATGACCCTGTTATCATCTTAATCACATTGTGATTTGTCTTCTATATCGTGTGATCATCTTCCGATAATTTTTGATTCTACATATGGCGTAATTCTACCAACAAAATAGAAATACACACATTATCCTTCTTTTTTTCTTCTTTTCCTTATTATTATTAAACCTATACGTCTTGATCCGTTTTTTCTAATACTGTTCTATCAAAGGATAAGTTTAACTAGTGTATTGCAATATTAACAAGCATACGTACTCACTGTTTTAGTTTCTTTCGCCTGTGATTAGTAGCTAAACGAAAACCACTACGACCAGGATTATCTCTATACTTGTCAGAATCAATGTTTATGTCTTTCATAACTAAGCTAGTCAGAATGATCAAATAAATCATCATTGGCAAATGATAGCTGCTGTATGTAAGTATATTAGAGAATTATAAAACTATAATAAGCGCTTACCAGCGAAATAAAAAAATCAAGATAAAATAAGTGACAGTTATACATAATATGAATAATTGTTTACATCTATTAGAAGATATCACTCTTGAGAGTAGCGTTAATTATTGTTGGCAGCAGTCTTTATATGATCGTACCAAGAATATATAATAACTATCCTCTATGGCTTATGAAAAAGGCGAAGGAGAGAAAAAAAGATCAAAACTGAAAAGAATCAAGTTTTAATCCTGAATTTGACGTTGAAGTACTATAGTTACTGTATCAAGATATAGTATACTACTTTTGGAATGAATCATTGGCTGAAGCGAATCTTATGAATAATTTGATTATAATTTTGAATATTTGATTTATTTTATAGAATATTCCGTAGTGCTCATCAATTATATGCAAATGATGATGAATTTCATAATTTATCTCTTTATGTTCGACATAATCGTGCAAAACAAGGAAATCTTCATATTGGAGATTCGGCAATGGATGTTAAATTATTAAATATCAATGGAGAATTTGTATCATTATTATCTTATTTTCAGTCAAATCGACCATTATTAATCATTGCTGGTTCATATACTTGACCACCATTTCGTGGTCTTGTACCACAACTTAATCAATTAATGGATTTTTATCATAATCAAGTTGATATGATCACTGTTTATATTGAAGAAGCTCATGCAACTGATGAATGGTAAGTTTATGAAGAAAATATTTTTCTTAAAAATAATCTTAAAACTGAATAAAATAGGCCAATTGGTAGTCGAATATGTTATAATCAACCAAAAAATGATAATGATCGAATTCATATTGCAAATGATTTTATCAAAGCAACAGAATATCGAATACCATTATTAATTGATCCAGTATCAAAAAATAATCCATTTAGTCAAGTTTATAGTCCATGGCCAATTCGATTTTATATTATTGATCATATGAAAAAATTTAGTTATATTGCTCAACCAATTCAAGGTTCATTTCCATTAGAATTGATTAAAAATGCATTAGATCAAGCTATTCAAAAATCTCAATAAAAATATTTTGTTTTTGCTTTGAGAAATGATGATTATTGTTTATTATTGTGATAAATGAAAGATTAAAAATGATATTTTTTGTTGAAAGCATACTAAATATGCAGACGAAAAATTGATGTATATTGTTCTTTTTTTTTATCACAATGATACGAAATCATCATCTCAAGATAATTTCCAATTTATATTCTCTCTGTTTTTTTTTAATTAAGATTCAATAAAAATGTTGTTAAATACAGACTTGTCTCTTGTTATCTAGTAAATATCTGCCAACCGTTGAAATAAATATTTTTATTAATTTTCAAATAGCTTTAGAAAAACTTTGAAAATTTTGTGTATTTTGTCGGCATAATTTTTTGTTCTATTCTCTATAGAAGCACTTGTGAGTAGAAAAGAAACGTTTGTTATACTACTAAAATGTTATCCTCGAAACAAGGAAATTTTTCAAACAGTTCATTTCAAAGGCATCGTTTACATAGGTCTTTTGATAAGATATAAACTGACCTGTTCAAATAGTTCTTTCGTTCACTTAATCTGTAGAAATTCAACAACTGTTTTGACTATGATAGTAACATCTGTTATGATAAACTTTAACGAAAAATATGTCTTTCTTGCGGTACAAAATTCAATATTTCACTGAATGACGTAAATGAATTACAAAATAATTCAAAAACACTGAATTACAAAATAATTCACTTTCTATTAGTTTCTACCAGGGTCTAGGGTCTACCAGGGTCTACCAGGGTCTAGGGTCT